TTTTGTTCAATCTATATACTACTAAAACTCTTGGGTCTGTTGGTTTGTAATCTTAATTGGGTGAATTGGAAAGTATAGGGCAACAGTTATTGAACCGAGGTAACTCATATGGGCTAACTTACAGAATGCTAAGGCCCCTGGAGAAGTTGTGGCCACTTCAGCACTACTGCGCCTTCCAACTATACTTCCCAGAATCCCAAAGGTTGCATGGCACAGGGGAAGATAGTGTAGCTGTATCCCCACCCTCTTTCCCACCTCCCTCTGGCCTTTGCATCAGTCATCTGGTGGCAAGGCCCAACAGGCAAGTAGTGATTGGCTGCTTTGGAACCAAATCTGAAATCTCTTAGCAGTGATGGGTCAAATGGGGAGAACAAGGGTTGAGTGACCTGAACATATGAGATTGGATTACATATGGTGAGGCTTCTATTGAAATACAATCAGTACAGTTATCGAACAAACGAGTACAACCAAACTGGATTATATCCAGTGGTGGGATTCAAATATGTGAACAACCAGTTCTCTGTGTGGATGCCACTTCTGGATGTCCATTCTGGGCCTGGGCAACAAAAAATTAGCCACTGGTTCTGCCGAACTGGTGCAAACCGGCTGAATCCCACCACTGATTATATCAGTGCTGAAAGAGTTGTACTGAATACTTACTTTAAGGTTTACTTTTGAAATTCTAAATGGCTTGAAAGTAATGTTTGCATCCCATTTACCTATTTTTGAACTTCCTCTAAGCATTTCTCTAAGCACTTTGAATATATTATGTGACATAACTAAAGAGAATCTGTTCTATTGTACCACCTCTCTTGTTTGTGAAGATACAACTGTTACACAGCCACTAGTCTAGCTCCATCCTAAAACATTGTTGATTCTCCCAGTCTAAATATTATATGAGTGATAAGGAGTGGTGTTCTGCTCTGTTGGATCTAATGCCATTTCCAATTTATTGTATTATTGTTATATTGTTGTGTTTTTATTTTGTTTCATTTATTTAAATATCATTCAATTTCAGAAAGTTCAAGGACGGTAAAGATTACGATCTTTGCAGCTTCCCCATGATCATGTGATCAAAATTCAGATGCTTGACAACTGGTTCATACTTATGACCGTTGCATTGTCCCAAGGTCCTGTGATCATCTTTTGCGACCTTCTGACAAGCAAAGTCAATGGGGAAGCCGGATTCACTTAACAACTGTGGCAAGAAAAGCATAAAATGGGGCAAAACTCACTTAGCAAATGTCTCACTTAACATAGAAATTTTGGGCTCAGTTGTGGTTGTAAGTCAAAGACTGCCTATAAAAATGAAGTGTGGAGAGCCACAGACATGACAGTGACAGTTACATAAACGAAAGCATCCTTTAAGCTTTTGAAACTTCAAAAAGATGAGAAAAAAGGTAATATTGATTTATCCCTAATTCAGTATAATAAGAGAGAGAAGGAGAGACATCCTCGTCAGGCTTTCAAGAATCTGTTAATACAGCGAATAGCACTACAGTCCCAATTGGTTTCTTAATCTGCTTTATCCTATAGGGCTGACATCAGTCTTCAAGGCCTGACTGAGTTTTGCCCTCTTTCATTCCTTCAGATGCTAGCTGAAGAAAGTCATTCTCAGCTTCTTTCTCATGCTTTTGCTGTTTCCGGGGCTTAATGGGCAGCTTTCTTTAGGTAAACACTCTGCCTTGTTTCTCCAGCGTCAGTATGTGATTAATTACAATTATTAATGGGAATTGACTGAAATGAATAATTTGTTATTACAAAATGTATAATATGCAATGTGAATAATGCAGAAAACGTCAAAAGCTATTTCTCTGATTGACAGATGAGGCTCTCAGATGCAGACTTACCAGGGGTTGTCTCTATCACTGGAAGAGCAGGTGTAGAATAACCTGTTAAGAAAACAAAGTTAATCAAGCAATGGAATGAATAAATACAGGGGGACTAATATTGGGGGCAAAAAGAGATCATTATACCTGCTAAATGAAATTAGTCTTATTCATCTGTAAAAAAATATTAGAATTTCCACAACTCCTGCAACCAGGTCATTGATTAAAATATTGATAAATAAAGGGAAGAGAACTCTGTAGCACTCAAGACCTCCCCTCCAAGCTTGAGTCATCCATGAGTCTTCTTTTGATACAGTCATTTGGCCAACTGTCAAGCTACTTAATAATAGTACTTGGGCATGTATACTGTATCTATTGCGTTCTCACCACAAAACTAATATTTATTTTTTAAAAAGATACAATAGTTTTTCATGAATCGTCTTTGACAAAAGTGTCCTAATTCTCATTCATTATAACAAGCCTAATCCTCACAACCTGTGGCTTAATATTCTGTTTGAGGAACATTATAGATGTCAAACTGGATGTATTAGCATAATAATAATAATAATAATAATAATAATAATAATAATAATAATAATAATAATAATAATAATAATAATAATAATAATAATAATAATAAAAAAGTTGGAAGAGACCTGGAAGGTCATCTACTCCAACCCCCTGCTCAGGCAGGAAACCCTATACCATTTCGGACAAATGGCTGTCCAGTCTCTTCTTAAAAACTTCCAGTGTTGGAGCATTCACCACTTCTGGAGGCAGGTTGTTCCACTGGTTAATTGTTCTAAGTGTCAGGAAGTTTCTCCATAGTTCTAGATTGCTTCTCTCCTTAATTAGTTTCCATCCGTTGCTGCTTGTCCTTCAGGCGCTTTAGAGAATAGCTTGACTCCTTCTTCTTTGTGGCAGCCCCTGAGATATTGGAACACTGCTATCATGTCCCCCCTCGTCCTTCTCTTAATTAAAATAGACATATCCAATTCTAGCAGCCGTTCCTTATATGCTTTAGCCTCCAGTCCCCTAATCATCTTTGTTGCCTAGGAAGTGAT